ACTTGGAGCTTTCACACTCTTCCTCCGGCCAAATCCCTTGGACGATGAATGTTCCAATTTTACACATTTTGTGTCAGTTTTCCCCATAGAGAAAAAAAACAGCCCCTGGACAGGAGACGTTCCGCCAGGAAAGGCCGTTTTCTCGGTTTTATTTGCTGCCCCCGCATCAGGGTCCCCGCTGGTCCCTGCGACGCTGAGCGGGGCCCGGACCACTTGACACAAAACACTTCCTTTCCTTGATTTAACCTTTGACTTGGGAATGTAAAAGTTGGATCAGCTCGGGAGTGGAAGCACGTGTGTGTGTGTGTGTGTGTGTGTGTGTGTATGTGTGTATGTGTGTGTGTGTGTGTGTGTGTGTGTGTGTGTGTGTGTTGGGGGGGTCTTCCTCCGGCTGCAGAAATGGATCGGGGTTCTCTCTATACATCTGCCTTCTGCCGAGGCCTCGACGAAAAGTGAAGGAACTAATCTTATAACGAACTTCTGAAGCGTCTCCTGCCTTTTGTTTTAAAAGAATTGGTCCTAACGTGTTTGGTTTATGTCTATAGACGTTTCCAGGCTGTGAGCGTCACGGATATTCTGTTAAAGAAATGGCATTTTTCGTTTTATAAAACCTTGAGTGAAATCCCTCGTTCAGTCCGTAGTAGATGTGGGATACATTTAAAAACTTTTTTTTTTCTAGGATCTTTGTGGTTGGTGGCAAGAGCTAGATTTTGATGGTGTTTGGGACTAAAATTTAGTGGGAAAGTATCTTAACTTACGGGTAATCCGCTTAAGAGCTTAACCATTACTTACAGATGAATTGCGTGGAACCTGTATTGTTTGGAAATTTTCTAAGAGGCCACAAAAATAAAAACGTGAGAATAACATTTCTTGCCCCGGCAAGGTGAGCTGATACGAGTTTATAAACAGAGCTTTGGATGCTGATCACGTTATGGAAACGAATAACAGATAATGTTCCGTTTCCCTGTAACAGTCAGGAGAGCACAGGTTCAGTGCGTTCCTGCCTTCCGGGGTCAAACGGTTTGAAATACTAATCAATTTAATGTTCATTTGCTCATCTTGTTTCTTGAGTCTAGATAATATAGACATTTTTCAGTTACTGTTATTATTACTTTTTTTGCAGCTACTTGCCATGGTTTGAAGTCTATTACAAGCTTCTAAATACGCTGGCAGATTACTTGGCTAAGGAACAGGTAAGCAATGTTTTTCCCCCACTTTTAAAAAAAAATATATTTTATTGATTTTTTACAGAGAGGAAGGGAGAGGGATAGAGAGTTAGAAACATCAATGAGAGAGAAACATCAACCAGCTGCCTCCTGCACACCTCCTACTGGGGATGTGCCCGCAATCAAGGTACATGCCCTTGACCGGAATCGAACCTGGGACCCTTCAGTCCGCAGGCCGACGCTCTATCCACAGCCAAACCGGTTAGGGCACCCCACTTTTTTATTGAGGTAAAATATATATGACATAAAATGCGCTGTTTTAAACCATTTTTCAGGGTACAGTTCTGTGTCATGAAGTGCATTCACTCTGCTCTGCGCCACCCACCCTATCATCTCTAAAACGTTTTTATCTTCCCAAACGGGCGCTCGGTGCCCGTGAAGCCATCACTGCCCATCCCCCTCCCCCACGCCCCTGGCAGCAGCCATTGCGTATATGTCGCCCACGGCGAACACGCCACTGGGACACGCCAGGGGTCCCACTACCCAGACGCCACCCTTCCTCCCGGGCTCACTGCCCACCCTCCACTGGGACATGACGGCTCCCACGGGCCACATATGACTGTGTGCCTCACATAACTAGAATCAGACAGTCTTTGTCCTTCTGTGCCTGGCTTATGTCACTACTCATGTTTTCATGGTTCATCCAATGTTTAGCCTATGTCAGAATTTCTTTCCTTTTCTAAGAAAATATATTTTTACTGATTTCAGAGAGGAAGGGAGAGGGAGAGAGAGAGATAGAAATATCAATGATGAAGGAGAATCATGGATCGGCTGCCTACTAGAGATTGAGCCCTTAACCTGGGCATGTGTCCTGACTGGGAATTGAACTGTGACCTCCTGGTTCATAGGTCAACGCTCAACCATTGAGCCACGCTGGCTGGGCACAGTTTCTTTCCTTTTATTTTTATTTGTTTATTTATTTAAGATTCTTTTTTTAAAAAAAATATATTTTATTGATTTTTTTACAGAGAGGAAGGGAGAGAGATAGAGAGTTAGAAACATCGATGAGAGATATCGATCAGCTGCCTCCTGCACACCTCCCACTGGGGATGTGCCCGCAACCAAGGTACATGCCCTTGACTGGAATCGAACCTGGGACCTGGGACCTTTCAGTCCGCTCTATCCACTGAGCCAAACTGGTTTCAGCTTCTTTCCTTTTAATACTAAATACTATCCCACTGTACGCACAGACCAGATTTTGCCTGTTCATGCATCTGTAGGTGAACACTTGGGTTTGTTCACCTGTTGGCTATGGTCAACAAGGCTGCTATGTGCATGGGTGTGCAAATATATGTTTGAGTCCCTGCATTCAGATCTTTTGAGAATATACCCAGAAGTAGAACTGCTGAGTAATACGGTAATTCATATTTAATTGTTTTGAAGAATTGTGTAATTTGTATAATTTTGGTTTTCCGAGAAGAGGACATAAGACTACACTTGTGTTCTTTATGAGAGGAAAAATGTTATCAGTTCACGGGATGAATAACCAGAAGGAAATCTTTAATTTTTATTATTTTTATTTTTAATCGACTCCCCCAGGTTATTTAGACGGATATTTAGATTTTATAATTCAAGTTATCCTTACGCAACCTACAGTGGGCAGGTACCAAGGATTTTTAAAAGCTGGACTTTTCCAAATTCATGTGGCCATAGGAACTTTATATAGCCAGAGCATCGATATCATCCGGAATATTCTGTGGTATATTTCATTGCTGAAATGGTAAAGGGATAAAGTCTTTGTGGTCTTCTTTTTCGGTCGTTCTAAAGAGAATTCCGGATAGGCAGCTGGGAGTGCACGCTTTTGCAGACGTTCATAGTGATTGGAATTAAATTTGATGGCCAAGTTGAAAGAAGCCTTGTGAGAAGTCGTGTCTCATGTCCACATCCCTCAAAATTAGTCGTTACCGTCCTTGAAGAATTGCCTTTCCTTTCGTTTATTCTCCCAGCCTAAACATTTTAAGAGAGAATAAAAATAACTATATATTTAAAAAGCTGCCTTTCTATATCTATTACTGGATTTGCATGAGTAAATCGGAAAGAGTAAGTGTGCACATCAAGATACATTTTAATTATAAAAATCTAGGAGGTAGATCTGTTATATATTTTATTTAATTCCATTTTTTTTGTGTGTGTGGGTCGGGTAGGGACCAGTTGCTACTTAGAAAAGAAATATTTAGGATAACCTCTGTGTTGGATCTTAGTATGATATCTTGCTTAAGTTATACTTAGTCCTTAAAAAATTAGGTTTGAGATTTTAAAATTAAAATAGGAAGTGGAAGCTTTCAGTAATCTGATCAATTGTATTGCTGTTTTTATACCATTCCCTTGTTCTTGGATTTAATGCTTTAAATAATTTCTTTCCTTAGATAACAGTATATTTTATAAGAATTAAATGTTGCCAAATACATATTTACACTAAATATAAGGATTGCTGTTATTCTTTCTGGATAAAGCCATAGGAATGTCTTTTCTAGATTAGATTGAAATATTTGAATTTTGGGTATTTAGAGCATTTCTGCGGAAATCAGTTGTACAGAGCCAGCCTAACACGAGAAGGCACGGTGCCTGACTTTATCGAATCGTTTTCATCATATTTGCTCAATATGTATTTGATTTATGAAATTTCCCTCTTTGTTTCCTGTAGGAAAATGATTTGAATGCAGTTCTCACAGCGCTCTATAACCACCCAGTCCCCAAGGCAAACAGCCCTGTCAATCTGAGTGTGGTAAGTACGCAGGCAGTGGATTGATTTGTGGGCGTTATAGATGGGTCTCATTTAAGAACACACGCACCTTTAGGGAACTTCATCCTACACGCACCTCTGCTCCCAGGAAAGCGTCAGTGCTAGAACGAACATCACACTGAGACTTAGTGTGATGACTTAGGACAATGAGACTTTTGGACCTACTTTAACCATCCTCACCTAATACGTTGGATGTGTATCTTGGTAGTTGTTAAATCAGTGGGTTTTTTTTTTTTGGCCTTTTTGTAAAATTTTGAATCAGTAGTCTCTGATAGCTTTCAAATCTTGTGCACCTATTCTCAATACAATATCTTAAGTGTTGGTACATTCAGCAGGTGAACGAAATAGTGCCTTAACTTTGTGTACAGCTTATTTTGAAATTTCATTTGATTTCAGAGCAGGGGACGCGTCACGCGCCCAGCCCCGTGCTGTTAGCGAGGGGCAAAAGTTGTGATTGAATCACTTATTTTGAACTACTGGGAGCCGTTCTAGTTTTATGAGTTAGGAATTTTGTTCCTCCCTCAAATGGAAAGAAATTTTTGTTTTGTTTCCAGAATTTCCGTTAGAAAAATGTGACAACTCTAGAGAAGGCACTCTGGTTCTCTTACGATCTCCTATTTCTTACGATCTCCATGTTCCAGCACATGGATTCTTCAAGACTTGATGTTATGGCCGCTAGAATATCGCAGCGAGGCTGTGAAAATGGAATTATCTCATGTAAATGGTTATTTTGAAACCGTCTTTCAGAATCGTTACCTACCCACAGCGTTCTCTACTCTGAGGGGAGAATGAAAATACGTCCTTTCAGATTATCCTAACATCCCATGAGCAGATCTGCATTTAAAATCACATTTATCATCAACGCTCTTCAAATGTTTTCAGTGGAAGGTGGCTACGCGGGTTTGTTTCAGCGACACACCCAGTGGTGGTGCAGACTTCCCCCTTGAAAGTAAAAATATTCATTTTTTTTCTCTCATATATCATAAGAACCAAGAGATATTTATTGCCAGTGAGCAAGTTCTGAGAGATCAGCCCTCCCTAGCACCGGTGAGTTCCAAGGGCATCAACTTCTCAAAATCACGATCACATTGGGAAAATGATCCTTTCACTGTGTCTTTAAGATTCGCTCCCGTCTGTGGGAAATGGGGAATGGGTCTCTCGGAAGGAAATGAATCACGTGGGATATATTTTCTGTTTATACTCCTTTTTAAAGCCCAGTTGTGTGAAATTCAGTTCTTTTGAAAACCCCTCCAAGTAAATAGAGACCAAATCCACGCATATTCGCCATTGTCAGAAGTAGTGATGTTGAAGTTCATTTTAGGAGTGAGAGTTCTGTCCCTTTTTTTTTTCTTTTTGTCACAAGGTCCCTGGAGGCCTGGCGGTCTCTCTCATCTTGTGCTCCTACCCTGGAAAATTATATATACATGGACTGTGAGAACTAGCCTTGTCTCGCTAGTTCAACGGAGCTCAGTATTGGCTCGAATATCCCCCCCCCCCCCATCTTTAATCCTAAAACAGTATTAAACATGTCCTTCTGTGATGAAGATAGTAAAGTGATTTTGGAGATTGCTATGAACAGAAAATAAAACAATTCTGGTGATTCACTGGGACTGTGATTCTGGGTGGTAGATGCGGGTGGGGAACGGGCCGGCGTACACGGTGTGTGTTTGATCCAGATCCGGCTGAGACCTGTGGTGTTGCTTCAGATATCGAAGCTAATTCGTATTCGTTGAGGGGATGTATGAGGGCCACAACATTTTGAAACGAGTCACTGTATTTTTAAGAAGTTTTAAAGGCTGAAATATTGTTTGATAGCCGCTTTCTAAATGGTACAGCGACGGATATGTACCAGAGAAACCTGTTGTGGCTGTCCATAGGAAATCTTAATTTTGATATCTTTTTGGGGAAGCAAGCCTTATTGTTCAGTCTGCCTAAACTAAATGTGTTTTTAAATACATAAATATATAGTATAAGTATATATAAAAATGAAGAGATATCTATCTTACAGTGATATGCTTTTTGTTCTCAACTGTATTTAGGACTTTGTAAAATTTAATAGTTTCAACCAACACTTAATTTTAAAAAAAATTTTATTGATTTCAGAGAGAAAGGGAGAGGGAGAGAAAAACATCCATGATGAGAGAGAATCATGGATCGGCTGCCTCCTGCACGCCCCCTACTGGGGATCGAGCCCACAACCCGGGCATGTGCCCTGACCGGGAATCGAACCCAGGACCCTTCAGTCCACAGGCCGATGCTCTATCCACTGAGCCAAACCGGTTAGGGCCAACACTTAGTTCTTTATATGAGAAAGTGATTGTTGAAGCTCCTTTAAACCTCATTGACATAATCTCAAATTCAACAAATCCTGAGCATTGGTCCTCGGTATCTACAAACTCAGTCGCTATAGTTTTTCTTCCTTTTACCCCACGTGGTATGCGATGATGCCAGTTGTAACCCTCCTCCCCCCCGTGTGCTTCCTTCTATCCATTAGCACTCCTACTTCATCGCCCCCGACGTAACCGGACTCCCAACCATCCCTGAGAGTGTAAGTTTGTTCTGCTTATGTTTTTTATTCTATTCCCTGTGTGGATTTCCTGTTTAAGGATCCCTGTGTAAAGACATAGAAGATGTAATAACTACCTGTCGTTCTGAGAAATAATGAAGAAATACGGAGTAAGGTGGTTCTCTCTCTTTCTCTCTCTCTCTCTCTCTCTCTCTCTCTCTCTCTCTCTCTCTCTCTCTCTCTTCTTTATGTTCCTGCTGCTTTACCCGCTTCTGAATATCAGGGTGTGGTCAGGAGAATGGTGTGAGAACCAGTATTTCCATCAATTGAGATAGTTCAGGGTATCGTATATTTCAGTGAGGATCAGGGAGGGGATGTTTCTCACGGGAGGACTTCTATGGGTGGGGAATGGCTCCCGCAGTGGGAAATATTTCCACACCAGTAGCCACCTCCGTGAACTGACCGGAGTATCTGAGATCCCTGCTTCTGTCTCCGTTCAGCTCTTAGGTGTCTCCTGCCTGAGATCTGGATTCTCACTGAAGCGATAGCATGCTTCGTAAGGCCTGAGGGGTATTAACAAGAAATTATAAAAATTGCTAAGTTTTGCATTTGATGTCCCAATTGGTTGTAGCCAATATTAGAAATATTCTTTTTTTAAAAAAATATATTTTATTGATTTTTTACAGAGAGGAAGGGAGAGGGATAGAGAGTTAGAAACATCGATGAGAGAAAAACATCGATCAGCTGCTTCCTGCATGCCCCCCACTGGGTATGTGCCCGCAACCAAGGTACATGCCCTTGACCGGAATCGAACCTGGGACCCTTGAGTCCGCAGGCCGATGCTCTATCCACTGAGCCAAACCGGTTAGGGCAATATTAGAAATATTCTTAGTGCTTTAATATTTATTCCCAGTTAATACTGCGTAGGAAAGTGTACATGGGTGAGTGTCAGCGGAAAGATGCTTTTGGACGCAGCGTGGAACGGGAGTATTTTTCCTGCGTGATTTCTGGTCTGCTCCCCTGGGGAAGATAAAATGAACCGGGAGAAACAACTCGATCGCACGTGAGGGAAACATCAATGGGAAAAAAACACTTCCCGGAATATTTATTATTTCCTCGGAGCTCCACTCTTCCTCCAAACATGTTTCCAAAGCTCCCGAGTGGTTTGTTTCCGAAAAGCACACATGTGACGCGTGAATAAGCCCAAGAAATCAGTTGTGAAATTTCTCGTGTCAAACCCAGACGGTGTGTGGATGGTGTTGCCAGTGCAGACGCGTCCAGAGACCTCCTGGGGCAGGTCTCCGCTCACGGCTCTGAATGTGGGCCTGAGGGGGGCCACCCAGAGGCTCAGGGCACCTCACAGGCCTCAAGCCCACGTGCTGCTCCCGCTAGGCCGGGCCGCCCTGCTCTGTCCTCCTGGCAGCTCACCCCCCATGCCTTGACTGATATGACCCTGGACCCTTCCCTTCAGAATTTTCATTTTCTTTATTTTTTGTTGATCCTCGCCAGAGGATATATTTTTTTCCCATTAATTTTTAGAGAGCGTGGAAGAGAGGGTGGGAGGGAGGAAGGGGGGAGAGAGAAAGAAAGAGAGAGAAACATCTAGGTGAGAGAGACACATTGATTGGTTGAGAGAGAGGGAGAGGGAGAAACATCTAGGTGAGAGAGACACTGATTGGTTGACAGAGAGGAAGAGGGAGAGGAAGAGAGGGAAACATCTGTGCGGGAGAGACTCATTGACTGGTTGCCTCCCGCACATACCTTGACTGGGGCCCTGAATTGAACCTGCAACCCAGGTACGTGCCCAGCTGGTATAGCTCAGTGGTTGAGCATCGACCCATGAACCACCCCAGTCAGGGCACATGCCTGGGTTTCGGGCTCGATCCCCAGTAGGGGGGCATGTAGGAGGCAGCCAATAGATGATGCTTCTCTCTCAAACATGTTTCTATCTCCCTCTCCCTGACCCTCTCTCTAAAAAAGTCAATGAAAAAAAAATATATATATATTTTTAAAAAGACCATTAACTGTGTAAGTCGTGTTCCTCGGTCACCCCCACGCGCCCTGACGCGCACACTGTGGTTTTTCTCGCGCGCAGAGGAACCTCACCGAGTACTTCGTGGCCGTGGATGTGAGCAACATGCTGCAGCTGTACGCCAGCATGCTGCACGAGCGGCGCATCCTCATCACCTCCAGCAAGCTCAGCACCGTGAGTACCACCCAGTCTCCTAGGCAACCGCGTCGCGTGCATCACAAAGGGCCCCCCTGCATCCCATGCATCACAAAGAGGCCGCGCGCCTCTGTGGACTCGGACAGGTTCCCCGTGTCCCGGGAGACAATATCCACAATATCCGCGGCCCCGTGTCTGATAAGTGGTTGTCCCGCGGCTCTTGAAGGACAAAAGTCTGATTTATGGAAGGCGGCCTGTGATGCATTAAGTCGGGTTAATTATTTTTTTTTCGGATCCGGGAGATGAGAGTTGCGTGTGTTTTTTTTTCTTTTCCTCCCCCCTCCGTTTTTCTTGTTAACTCTCCCGGGTTCATTTGACTGCCTTCTGCCAGAGAAAGAATTCTGAAGAGCTATTATTAGAGGGTGATTATTCACTTGTGGCTTGTTCCCCGGGCGCTTCCCTGAAAGGGACCCGGGGCCCAGGAGAATAGCCGCTCTCCCAACCGGGCGGTAGGTGGGTGCCTCTTTGTTGCCAAGCGCGGGTTTGCTGGAAGGTTCTATAGGAGCTGGGACTTGGAGGGGCTCTTCAGACGGATAATAACTTAAAAGTCAAAGCAGCATTTTTTTTATTTTTTATTAATCACACGTTGTCCGTCGCTCCCTGAAACGGGCTGTGGAAGCTCTCGATCGACGTGGCGAAGGCGGCGAGAATCGGAGTGTCTTTGGGCCATAGAAAAAGAGTCACAAGTCTTTTGCTACATTTCCTGTGTTTTTTTTCTCCTGCTTTCGATATTGCAATTTTTAATATTTTTGATGGACTTAAAAATTTTAAATATCCACTTAAATAGATATTTAGCATAATGCGTGAGATATTTATTAAAACCCATTATTTAAGATGGCATGAGTTTGCTGTCTTAAGCATTTGGGTAGCTGGTAAAAAGGAGGTGACATATACATGTTTTGTTCTGTCGTAGAAATAGAAATGATGAAGTTTGGTATTTTCGAGTTAGAGTTTCAGGATCTTTCTAGGAGGTCGGTTTCGTATTGAATGGCGAGAGAGGTGGTATCAGAGGGGTTACATGCCCACCCACAGGCCCCAGAGCTCACCAGAGACAGGTCACGTGGTCCTGGGTTTTCTGCTTCTAATTTTGGGTTGTTCCTGTGACTCTATAATCGAAAAACCACGGTTTTCAGATTTTTGAATTGAAATATCGATATGCTCACTTTTTCAAAAAAATTGGAGATCTATTATTTTACATCTTGAAAGACACCTCACTTGCACTTAAAGGAGGAAGCGCGGAGGATGTAACAGGCGGCGACAAAGGTGATTTCTTGCATTTTCTTAAAGCGACATCGAGAAATTCAGTCTGAATCGTTATAAATTTGCTTTTCGGCCATTTTTTAAATTGACCACTGCGGTAAAACCAGTCTTCTTTCTTCTCCCTCTTCTCTTCATCCTCATCCTTTTTTGAACATGTACACACACCTATACACACAAACCCATATGCACACACATATACATACACATATACACGCATGCATATACATACATATGCATACATATCCATACAGGTGAAGTGCTAAGAAGTCCATCTACATAAGAACCAATGATTCTTCAATGATTGTCAGCTATAATTTTCTAAGGGACTAGATAATGCAGTTTAAAGAGTAACACACCCGCCCCTTAACTTTATCTGAATTAAAAAAATAAATTGTTTTACTGAAGGCGTGGTCTCGCTCAGGGAGTTGTTTCCCACGTTCGAGGTACTAAACCCAATGGCAATGGTTTATGGCCGTTCGAGAAAGCTCCATGGCAGTGTCATCTCTGAGTTCCCTCTCTGGGGCATCGGGCTGATCGCAGACACACAGATCAAGTTCACGGTCAGGATCTGCTACCCGTCTTAGGTGGGGGAAGCCGCTTCACCTGGGTCTCTCTCTCTTGGAAATTCATGTCTAGATCTGCCACGAATCCTACGCATGGTAACACTTTAAGGTCAGAGACCAGGACGATACGTAAATTAGGAAGGGACTGATTTTAGAAAGAATTTAGTGAAACCTCAGAGACATCCCAGGAAAGAGTAAAGTGTCCGTGAACTGATTTGCTGTAAAGCTTTTCATAGTCTTATATTTCTTTCTATGCCATAAAGACTAGAATGCACTTCATCTTAACGCAATGAATTGTTGCACCTGTTCTAAAAATCTACAGCCAAAATTTTAATTCTTGAAAGTACACATATGAGTTAAGGTGTATTTACATTCACTATTTGATTGTCGTTTGAGGAATTGTGTTTGCGTTTTTACCCTTTGACATTCATAATTTTATTCTCATCACGCTTGCCCGCCTTATAGCTTGCTGGGGGTTTTAGCGCTGACGCACAGTTAGAGAATTCAGTTACTCGAGGCTCTGTTTTCTTTACCTACTGTTTGTAGTTAAAATTGTACTTTTTCATCATCTTTATAGAGATGAACTTTAACATAAAAAAACTAGTTCTGAGATATGGTAGCAAAAATATTAAGAGTGTTGCTGTGGCCCGGCCGGCGTGGCTCAGTGGTTGAGCATCGACCTATGAACCAGGAGGTCACGGTTCGATTCCTGGTCAGGGCACGTGCCTAGATTGTGGGCTCGATCCCCAGTGTGGGGCGTGCAGGAGGCAGCCGATCCATGATGCTCTCTCATCGTTGATGTTTCTATCTCTCCCTTCCTCTCCCTTCCTGTCTGAAATAAATAAAAGCATATTTAAAATAAAATAAAATGAAATGTTAATGTGTCGTCCCCACCCCCCCTATTATACGTGTAGTGTTTTGCTGGGACCCATTATTATATTTTTACGTGTTTGAGTTTCATGCACTAGGACAGTGGTCGGCAAACTCATTAGTCAGCAGAGCCAAATATCAACAGTACAGCGATTGAAATTTCTTTTGAGAGCCAAATTTTTTAAACTTAAAACTATATCAGTAGGTACATTGTTATTAACTTAATGAGGGTCCTCCTAAGGCTTAGGAAGAGCCACACTCAAGGGGCCTAAGAGCTGCGTGTGGCTCGCGAGCCGCAGTTTGCCGACCACGGCTCTAGGACATAGCACCTCTGTGTTTATTCTGTCGACACTTCCATTGTCAAGTACACACGGCTGGGGGGCGGGGCGTCCTGGAAAACCTGAAGGAGAACGTGGGTGTCATCCATGCAACAGACAGGCATGTCCCCGCGGGGGGTGGGTGCACCTCGGCGGGGCTTGCGGAACATCAGAGCAGAGGATCCATCATGATCGTACACGCGTAGATCCCTCGACTCCTTGCTGCTTTACGACCGGAGCCGGGAACACGGCTGTCGAAAGTCATGTCCCCGCGTCTCAAGGCGGTCGGGCGTGCAGCGCTGTCATCCGCGTCTGTCACCATCCCTCAGACCTCCTCTGAGCAGCCGGCCGGGCTGTGCGTCTTGTCCCATCGGCCAGCGTCTGACAGGGCCCCCCCCATCACGCTGTCAGTCATCTGCTAACGAGGGTGGCCCTCCCTGGCCTGCAGCGCGGGAGCGGGGTGCCTCTCTCTGAAGCCGATCTCTAATCGGGGGCTCCTGTCCGGACCCACGTTTAGTTGGTAAACATCTCCCTCCCGAAGCCCGTAAGCCCGTTAGTTCCAGAGATGGGAGCGAGGGCGCACGCCCCTTCGGGAATACGCCCAGCGAGCAGCGTGCCGCGCGTGCTGGAATCGTGTTAATAAACTGTAATGTCTGCCTTTGTGCGAGATGCCCCCGGGCAGCCAGGCATATGCTTTTGCTCCTCCTCGCGCTAATTCCGTCCAGGGCACCTGCCAACAGAAAGCTCTGTGAGCCCTGGAAAATCGGCCGTGAAGATGGGGATTTCACAGGCTTCGTTGGGCTGCAGGGGAATCGGGGGGACTTGAACCTCTCCATCTGGATCTTGAGGGTCCCTGACTTGTCTCTCACTGGGGTCACCTGTGTGGGCACTGAGCCCGAACCCCGAAGCTGGGAGCATCTTTCTGGAGATCAGGAGCTGAACGGTTGGCAAGGGAACCGGGGTGAGCCAGGCCCACTTCTTTGCGAAGATTATCCGAGCGCACGTCCCCCCTCGTGTTTGTCGAGCTGCAGCCGAGGGGTGCCGTTGCATGTCGTCATTGAGACCCCTCAGGGAGGGAGATGCTAGGAATTTTAGATTTTTCATTCTCCCCGAAGCCCACAGCAACCAGTGATGTCAGCTGACGCAGTCCCTGCTAATTCTCCTTCCCAGGGTGTTGTGTGACGTGCATTTCCATTCAGAGCTAAGGGAGAGGGACAGGGGTGTGGAGATAGGACGGGGTGACAGAGAGCCATGGGTCGGCTGCCTCCTGCACGCCCCACATTGGGGATCGAGACCACAACCCGGGCAGGTGCCCTTGATCGGGAATCGAACCGTGACCTCCTGGTTCAAGGTCACCACTGGGGTGGTCAGGTGGCACTTTGTTGGCAGGTACGGCTGGAGGTTCATCGGAGGGAACTTCTAAGACAGGAAAATTCTCCTCCCGTCTCGTGCTTGTCCGGCTGTCCACCCCAAAGACTCACTCTCCGTCGTGTCGTTCGGATAAAATGTTTTCCGTCAGTAGATGTGACTCAGGGTCTCAGCAGGGTGGGCATTTTGGATCTTGGTATGTGGGAAGGCAGTCGGAAAGAAAGGTTCTCGATTGCGCCTGCCTGGGCTGGAGTCCTCGCTTGACCGCTTGCGAGGTGTGTGATCTTGGGCAACTGGTCTACCTTTGCCATCGTGCCCGGGTCTGTCGGTGGGAATAGTGATAATAGATGTGAGAATATCAGGTTCTCAGAAGAGTTCGGGCACATGGTCAGCGTCCTGGAGACGTTTGCTATTGTTGTTATCGGCAGTGACACTCGACCTGGGGGCCCGGGACCGGAAGTTCCAGGTGCCTTTGTCCCATGACCATGTTCACTCGACCTGGGGGCCCGGGACCGGAAGTTCCAGGTGCCTTTGTCCCATGACCACGTTCAGTGTCCCCCACCTTCATGGTCAGGTTTCTCCCGTGGACTTCTGGTCTCTTCCCATGGCTTCTACCTGTGCTGACTCTACAATCGCCGTGTGTGGGGAATCGGTGTTCCCGGGGTTTTGATCTCGCATTAGTCAGCACTTTGAGGGAGTTTTGTGGGGTTACAGGTGCGGGGAGATATTCACATGCCACTGGACCCAGATGGGGAGGAATGGCGGTGGTGGGTTTTTTTCTTCTCTTAAACCGTGATTCGGTCAATTTGTTCCTCTTTGAACTTCACGAGAAGCAGCAGGGATGATGAAAGAAGCAGCTGGAAGATACCAGAAAAGCACTGTGGCCCGGCCGGCGTGGCTCAGTGGTTGAGCGTTGACCTATGAACCAGGAGGTCACGGTTGGATTCCCGGTCAAGGGCACATGCCTAGGTGGTGGGCTTGATCCCCAGGAGGCAGCTGGTCCATGATTCTCTCTCATCATGGATGTTTCTCTCTCTCTCTCTCCCTCTCCCTTCCTCTGTGAAATCAAGAAAAATATATTTTACAAAAAGGAAAAGCAGTGTAGCTTCCTAGCCTCGTCACCAGCCAGGCGGAACCTCGGGTAATCTGGCCCCAAAATGTGGTTGTCGCTGCCCTTGAAGGTTCAGGATCCAATAGGTCATGAATAACTAAAAAGCAAGAAACTCCTTCCTCTCCCTGGCTTTTAAACTGAGCTTATTTCCTGCTGGGACTTTGTTCTTCTAACCAAACTTCTAAAATATGTCGTTTATTTCCCTTCGTTGGCTGGGCTCTGAGGGGTGGAGGGACAGGATTGGTCGGGACAGTTAGCGCTGCCTTAGCGTCAGGGACAGAGCCCGCGTGCTGACCGTCGTCAGAGGTGGTGACTGCTTAGCATTGGGAGCTCATTCTTCCGGAAGCCGGTCCAACGCTCGCGCTGCTCTTGTGCCTCATTCATATGATGACCCCTGGGGGCGTCGGGGACGGATCTAGGTGACGTGGACCAGCGGACTTTGGGTTCTGGGCATGGCCCGGAAGATAAGTGACCCTGAGTACATCCCCACCTTGAGAATGTGTTTCTTCCTCCGTTACCCTGTTCATGCACCACACACACCCGGGCCACGGTCCTTCTCAAGGGGTGAAAGGAGGGGTTTTCAAAGCCATGTCTGGAGAAATGGAGGAAGTGAGCAAAAGAGCTGCCTTTTCCTTAACTCTTTCCGACGGCTTTCCACATACAAAGATGCCTCCTTTACCCCCAGGGAGTGCCCGAAAGCTCTCCGGGAAGCCGCCCCGGGCTAGATGAACCCCGCTTTTATTATCCTCTGGCTCAGATACGGGAGATAAGGGAGTCCATGGTCCGCAGTCGCCAAATGGAAGCATTTGCATGCCTCCTAGTGGCCTATGGCGTGTTCGAATGAAGGAATTTGAAACGAGTGTTGATTGAAAGACGGCTGTCGGTGAGCTGTGAAGGCTTGCAAGGGTGAAGCGCTAAAACCCGTCAATGGTATTTATTCTAAACGGAACCAAAATCGATCGTTTTTCACATGTCACTAATGACAAATCTAATGGGCAAAAGACAGAACACACGTGATGAAGAGGAATAGGCTTTTAATCAAAATGTGTATGTTTTTGGTTCCCGACTAGATTATCGTAATTAATTTTTTAAATTCTGTAGAACTACTTGGCACTTGAATATAGACAGTGCTGCTATTGAGATTGAATTGAGAGGGGGAAGGGGATGGGGGAGGGAGCAGAGGGAAAAGGGGGGATCAATGGTGATGGAAGGAGACTCGACTTGGGGGTGATGAACACACAATACAATACACAGATGATGTTGTAGATTTGTACCCCCGAAACCTATATGATCTTGTTAACCAGTGTCACCCCAGTATATTCAATAATAAGAAAATACTGAGCTGCTTTGTATGCATTTAATTTTTAAATTAATTTGATTACTGTGTGTAAAATTTTCATTCCCTCTATAATGAAAGAGAAATGGTGGTTAATAGAAAGTCTGTGGCCCATTTTCAGATGATTTTATTTCTCAAATCTGATTTCCAAGCTGGGCAAAACGATTTCCTCCGTCGCCTTGAAAGGCAGACCCTAGCAACCCTTTAAAACGATGATGCATGCTGATTCATTTATTGCTGTAAACACTGGGGAAGAAAGACGACTCCCCGCTTACAGGAATGGAATTTAAAATGCACGAAAAATCACAGGGGAAGAATTCTGTTGGGGGTCCATAGGACGGAAGAAGGGGGGACTAGAGAGGGGAGGTATCTTTACGTGAGGCGTTGAAAAGATTTAATTAGCCACTCGCCAAATCAAAACAATTAAAATGGCAATTCCCTTTGCCATCGCAGCCATGTCCGGGCAGCTGTCTTGATCCGCAGCTGGGCCCCCAAACGGGCGTCGGGAATGAGGAGCCGAAGGAGGGAATGATGATATTCCTGGCTTCCTGCGGCCCAGCTGTCAGGCGCGGCCTGCGCTGGTCAATAGTGACATCCCATGTGTCAGCGAGCAGCGTCTCTGGGTACCGCGCCCCGCGGTCCACACGCTGCGGAGGCCCCAACTGTCGGGCAGCCCGGTCCCCCGGCGCTCGGGCGGCGCAGCCCCGGCTGTCGGACCCGTGTTTCACGCTTTGGCAATTTGCCCTAACGATCTCCCTCCGGAGCCTCCCCCCCCTCCCTCTCCACGTCTCATCGCGAAGCACAAGTCCCAGCCATGCCCAGCCGTCGGGTCCCACCTGATCTTTGTGTCCATGGGCTTCGTGTTGACCCCCAAACACTGTATTTTCAGACACCTGTCTCCCTGAGACCCCCAAGAACCTCCTAAGCTGCTGATAGGCTGTGTGTTTTCAGGGAGGGGCGCTTCCGAAATGGAAGGCGTGTTGCGTGCGGAATTGGTAGAGGTCATAGGGTGGAGGTCACGAGAGCAGTTGGGATGTGTTATGATCGTCTTGGGGAACGGAGGGGGGGGCGGGGGGGTGTTGTGTTTGTAGGAAGCCTGCTCCTCACTGTGGCTGTCCCTTTCCATCTCGCAGTTGACTGCCTGCCTGCACGGATCGGCCGCGCTGCTCTACCCCATGTTCTGGCAGCACATCTACATCCCGGTGCTGCCGCCGCACCTGCTGGACTACTGCTGGTGAGCGCCCCCCGCCGGCTCCCGGGGCTCCCGGACCCAGGGTCATGGTGGGAGAAAGCCCAGTTCCTCTTCCTCTTCCTCTTCCTTTTCTTCTTCCTCTCCTTCCTCTCCTCCTTCTTCTCCTTCTCCTCCTTCTTATTCTCCTTATTCTCCTCCTCCTCCTCCTCCTCCTCCTCCTCCTCCTCTAAATATAATATTATTGATTTCAGAGAGGGAGGGAGAGACAGAAACATCCATGATGAGAGAGAATCATGGATCGGCTGCCTCCTGTACACCCCTTACTGGGGATCGAGCTGGCACCTCTGGCCTGTGCCCTGACCGGGAATCGAACCGTGACCTCCTGGTTCCTAGGTTGACGCTCAACCACTGAGCCACGGGAAGCTTGATGTGCACATACGTGCCCGGACGCGCCGGATCCTGCTTTGGGGATTAGCGACGAGTGTGGAACATGCTTTTAAGAAGGGGGCCAAGCGGTGCTTTCCTGGGGGGCCATCCCGGTCCTCCCTAAGCCAGCCCCCCCAGGCCTTCTTCCTGCTGTTTCCGTGGTAACGGAGGGAGCTTGTTTCCTGGCTTCGTCTCTGGAGTTTTCTGACTGGGTTCCAGCCCCTTCAGGAGCCTCTGGGACAAGTTCTCACGCCAGACTGTCCCCTGGCCCTGGGTGGGGGGTGCAGGGGAGATGACCAACACATCCGAGTGTCCAGGCCCCGAGGATGGGCTCAGGGGGTGGGGCAGGAGGACACAGCCCTGTATTGAGGTCCAGCCCTCGAAGACGAGAGCTGTCTTCCATGTCAGAGGATTCTACGGACCCAGCTACTTTCTGGGGAGCGTGACTTTCCCCTCTCTGTGTCCTTGCGGACGGTTCTAGTCAGACTGGTGGGCATGCGGAAGGGAGACGGATGTTAGAGGCCACGCCTGCCAGCCCATGGTTTAGATTCCACTTCAGAAATAGCAGCAGGAAGCCTGGAGAGCGCTGGGGTGTGTGCGCCCACCCTCCCAGCCCCAGGGCCCTCCTCGCGCCTGGAAGGGCCTTTGCTTTCGCGCTGGGTGTCTCTGATGGCGTGGCCTGTGAGGGCCGGGATGCCACCCCGTGCCCACGGGGGAACCTCGCCTCGGGGTCCGCCGGTAAAGGCTCCCCAGGGTGCTGGCGCCTCCATTCACTCCCTCGTCCATTTGTACGTCCACCGTGTAGCGAGCACCCGTTTGCCAAGCCGTGCGTCTGTCATGTCAGGAATAAGACGTAGCGTCTGCCCTTGCGGGGTTCACAGATGGGAAGGAATTTACACCAATGTGCACACGCACACACACACACGCACATGCACACACACGCAGGGCACAGAGTAACACTGTAATTCTGCGAGGTGAATGTCAGAGATGTATAAATGGGACGTGGATGGGGACACCTAGGAGTCACATAGGAGGAAGAGGTCCCCATGGCCTACCCCAGTGGTCGGCAAACTGCGGCTCACGAGCCACATGCGGCTCTTTGGCCCCTTGAGTGTGGGCTCTTCCACAAAAGACCACATGCGGGCGCGCACGTACAGTGCGATTGAAACTTCGTGGCCCGTGCGCAGAAGTCGGTATTTTGTGGAAGAGCCGCACTCAAGGGGCCAAAGAGCCACATGTGGCTCGGGAGCCGCAGTTTGCCGACCACTGACCTACCCGGATGGGGAGGGGCTCCTAGGGTCATGTGACACCCTCTGCCTCTTCCCCTCCATCTCCCAGGATGAGGAGAAAATGGGGAGTTTTCTGTTTGTTTTTGTTGTTCATTCTCACCCGAGGATATTTTCCCATTCAGTTTTAGAGAGAGTGGAAGGGAGGGGGAGGGAGACACAGAGAGAGACACATCGATGTGAGAGAGACACATCCATTGGTTGCCTCCCGCACATGCCCAACCCAGGTACTTGCCCTTGACTGGAATCGAACCCCGGGACCCTTCAGTCTAGGGCCAATGCTCCATCCACTGAGCCAACCGGCCAGGGCTGGGAGTTGCTAGTCCACGGGCATCAGTTCTGCAAGGTGACTTAGTTCTCGAGGTCTATTGAACGACCCCCTGTGGTCGGTTAGCAGGTTAACAGTTCGGTACGTACACAAGGAGCGCATGTCACGTCTCAACAGAGAGGTCTCGAACCCGGGCGAGTCTGTGATGTTGGCGGAAGGGCTTCGCCTGTGTGAGTCCTTACACACCCGGGAGGCGGGGCAACTCCAGCACCAAGAAAATGATAGTTGTTCTTCCTCGTTCACCTATGGCTGGTTCGCCTTTGGATCTAGGCGATGTCTTCTTCCCCCAAAAGGGGCAGATTTCGCCAGCTCAGTGGTTGAGCGTTGACCCATAAACCAAGAGGTCACCGGTTCAGTCCCCAGTGTGGGGCGTCCAGGAGGCAGCCGATCCATGCTTCTCTCTCATCATGGATGTTTCTGTCTCTCTCTCCCTCTCCCTTCCTCTCTCTGAAGTCAGTACGAACATATTGAAAAGTGTTTTATTTTTAAGTAGCTGTGTATTGGGGTATTTCCTGTCACCTTTGTAGACATCTGCCCATTCTCATGGTTTCTTGTCAAGTAGAATTTTAATTTTGCAATGCCAAGTTGAATAATTTCCTTCTTCTGTTTCATGAGAACTGTTTTTGAGTTAGTGGTGAGTCTGATGGTATGTGCTACAAAAATTATTGAATGACTTTATTCTCTGCTAGGGTATGAGACCCCCAGGGGAGTATATTCGGTCCATATTGTTTACTTGTCGGACCCAAGACCCTAGACCAGGGCACCTGGTGGGCTTTCCATATTTTAATTAATATAATATTATTCTTAAACTTATTTGCATATTTTCTAATTTGTTAAAATGATTCTATTAATAAATATGAATGTGGGATAAAAAGGAAAGGATGATATTTGAATGAAAAGACAAGGGCACATGCGTGGAAGGACAGGACAGAAATAGGATGATGACAGTGAGGAAGAACTTTGCCCTGCGCACAGTAGGGCTCCATAAGTATTTGGTACTGACTGACTCAAAAAATGTTGCTGATGTAGGGGTGAAAAAATGATATATTAAGAAAATCATAGGACTGAGGATCTAATTGGATAACAAGAAGTACAAAAGAAACATGAATACATTTGATGATAGTTTGTGATATATTTGACCTGAAGTATATGGAAAAGATTCAACTCAGGTTATGGCCTTGACCCTAATATTCTTAATCGGAAAAGTTTTTTTAAGGTATTCCGCTTCTCGATTTACTTAGAAATGATTTTGTGATTTTTTTAATATAAATCAAGCTTAACTTGAATCTATTAATGGCCTTTCCATTTGACTTGTATATAGAAAATAATTTAAAATACCTATACTATGCTATGTTAGAACCGTGCATTTAAATAATAATTTAAGCATGCAGAACTACGTATGTTGTTTCAGTTTTAATGAACTATGAATGTACCGTTTTTTTTAAATTCAGCGCTCCGATGCCATACCTGATTGGAGTACACTCTAGCCTCATAGAGGTGAGTATCTGTCAGCGATAGTGATCAATTCATTGATAAAAATCATAGTTAACACAGTTGTGCTTTGGAAGAATATCAGTTGACTAGTACAGAGCAGTGACTAGTTTAATATCATACTCACATAGCCATTTTTAAAAAGGTAACATTGAAATAACGTCATTTTAATTTTTATACCAAATGAGCATCTTCAATGGTAGGAAACCCATGAAAATAGGTTACATATGGTAGAAATCACATGGTTAGTTTTAAATCCGGAAAACTTTTAGTTCTTAATGAACCATTATTTGGTTTCATCGTGAGTGAGACAGTACCACAGGAACGGTAGGTATGTTTTATACTAGTTGGGCAACATTTAGTAACTTTCTCCTTAATCGATTACGAGATGATACGCAAGCTCCAATTCCATTCTTATCATGTCATTATTGGCAGATTTTTTTCACCAAAATTTTAATTTTTATGTAAATGTCACTATAATTAAAACGTAGGCATATCTACTTACATGTTTTCTAGGTGAGGCTGAAGTGAGTAATTTTTCGCCTCTTAATTGGCTGCAGTTACAACGGATTTTTTTTTTAAGGAAGAATCACATATTCTCTGATTCTCTCTCAGTCAAGGCAGTTCAAGACTTGTAAACAGAGTCGTTCAAAGCCATGAAATGAATGACCTTTTAAATCTCCCTTTTAATTCTTTTTATGCAATCCTGGGTATGAAAGATGGCTAGCAGTCTCTTTGGACAGTGGAGCTCTCTTTCCAAAATAAAGGATAAGGACATTTTGTTCTGCCTGGAAAACTAGACTGGAGGGATGAATCCAAGGCTGGCTAAGGCCTGTGAGCGATTAGGAATAAATGAGTCGAGGCTGCCAATGGGAGGGTCACGTGGACCGTGTGAGCGCACAGAGGATTCTGTAGAACATGCTTACCCTGTTGCACAAACCCAGGGGGCTGCAGCCTTGGTGGCATCTTCCAGCATCGATGCTCCTGTCCATCCACTCTAGCCTCATTGCCCGGAAGCGTCCTCTCGCGAGGATGGGAGGCAGGCTGACCACCTTCAACACCTTGTGCTCTATTTTTATTTTTATTATATTTTTATTGATTTCAGAATTCAGAAAAGAAGGGACAGAGAGAGAGAGAGAGAGAGAGAGAGAGAAGCATCAATGATGAGAGGGAATCATGGATTGGCTGCCTCCTGCACGCCCCCCACTGGGGATGGAGCCCGCAACCCAGGCATGTGCCCTGACCGGGAATCGAACTGTGACCTTTTGGTTCCTTTGTTGGGTTGATGCTCAGCCACTGAGCCACACCCCAGCGGGGCTCATTTTCTTATTTTTGAAGAAAAAGGAAAAATCATCTTTTTGTATTTCCTTATTCTTTTTCCATCTAAACAAGCATGAATTTTATGATATAAGGAATATGAGAGTGGAACCATTTTATAGGCAGTATGACTCGCCACTTCTATTTAGAAGAAACAATAGCTGAGGCCTGGTTTGGAGGGAAAACATAGGTAAAATCCTCACATGACTCCAACTTTAGAAAAAGATATTTAAATTATAGTATATTTTAAAAAATATAAAATTACTCTCATTTTAGGGGCTCTCAATGTGTTGTTTTCTTAAAATGAATACATTTCCCATCCTTTTGGGGTGAACAAAATTTAACATCCAGCTTTTGTCGGACCTTTTAAAGCTAACAACTGCGAAAAAAGTCTACTTTTCATATTAACACTGACTTTCTTTATTCAGAGTTTATTGTTGGTGTCATCACAAAACATTTTGGGGTCACGTAGTCATTATTTTAGGCTGTTTTCATTCTTTTAAAAAAACGTATCAGGTTTGTGGATTAACTTGGCAGTTTCTGTGAAAAGGACAACTTAGAATTGAAGATGGAAATCAAAATTATGACATAGTTTTCCCTCAAAAATGCCACTCATATAAATATATTTTTGCTTATAAAATAGGTTATTTTGTAGTTATGCTATTGTTTATAGAAAACTACATATTTATGAATGTAAACTTCTTTACAGAAATGTGTACACATGGAAAGGAAAGGAAATGAGTGTATTTATAAATGTTTTTGTCATAGTATCGCTATTCTAAGTGATTCTCTGTTAATTTCTTAGAAATGGCCATGTTCTGAGTCTTACGTTAGATTTATTAGGGCTTTTACAAGATAGATTTTTAGAATCATGTGTTGCCCTGCAAGTCCATATTCCACATGGATATTAAGGCTTTCTTCACACAGAAGAATTCTGTGCTAAAGACGACCATTTCGCTAGCAAATTTAAAATCCTACCTAATATGCAGAGATTTGAAATTCTAAACGAGTCAGAGAAATTTTAGTCCTGCCCAACTTTATTTTTTTTTTAATTTTTTTTTTAAATATATTTTATTGATTTTTTACAGAGAGAAAGGGAGAGAGACAGAGAGTTAGAAACATCGATGAGAGAGAAACATCGACCAGCTGCCTCCTGCACACCTCCCACTGGGGATGTGCCCGCAACCCAGGTACATGCCCTCGACCAGAATCGAACCTGGGACCCTTCAGTCCGCAGGCCGACACTCTATCCACTGAGCCAAACCGGTTTCGGCAGTCCTGCCCAACTTTAAAACAAAATAATTGATCTGGCCAACTTCAAATTTACAGTATTTCATAATTCTCAAAAATGGCTATTATTCTAGAATGTCACTTTAAAATATGATGCTGAAGTTAATTGACCTATTGCTAGTTGACCTATACAATTATGGAGTTCTGAGTTGGTGGATAAATTTTATTAATGAACACCTTATTTGCATTAGGGAATAAGATTAGGTGCTATCATTTATTAAAGACCAATAGAATTATATGATTTAAGTATACATATTAAATAGGAAACATAAACTGTAAATATTTTCTTTCTTTAAGGATGAAAAATTTGATGAAATTCTAATTCACAATTATTTGTACACATACTGAGATAATTTGACCAATTGACTAAGCTGTCAAATAAATAAGTCAACTAGTTAATCTGATAGGCTATGAAATCTGATCTTTTATGTTGAAATTCATGTGATAAATACTAAGAATGACTTCCATATTACTTCCCTCTCTGTCTTTTTTTTTTATTTGACTTTGTCGTCATCATAAACTTACACCAAATCGAAGTGGAAATATAGAGAAAACATTGACTGCTATAAACTTTGGTTGGCTTATCTTAGACCTACATTATGATTTATGCTAAAAAAAAAAAATAGGTATAGGACCGGACCCACGTTCCTGTATCAAAGACCGAAATCCAGTTGACCAAATTGAAAGAAGATAACTTTTCACAGTTCAACATAACCATGCCCACTTTGTAAGTCTTCGTCGTAGTATATCTTTGGCAGCTAAATCATGGTCATTATCTCCAAACCGCATCAGTATGTTGAGATGAGCAAACATGTTAGTTAAGCATTTTCAACCCAACCTTTTTGAATGGTCGGATAGGAACTATTTTTCCTCATAAAGCAAAGTTGTTTGCATTCTTTTTATGATGCAGGACTTTCCCTTAATTCTTCCCCCCAGACCCGTGGTCGGCAAACTGCGGCTCTCGAGCCACATGCGGCTCTTTGGCCCCTTGAGTGTGGCTGTTCCTAAGCCAGTGATGGCGAACCTTTTGAGCTCGGCGTGTCAGCATTTTGAAAAACCCTAACTTAACTCTGGTGCCGTGTCACATATAGAAATTTTTTGATCTTTGCAACCATAGTAAAACAAAGACTTATATTTTTGATATTTATTTTATATATTTAAATGCCATTTAACAAAGAAAAATCAACCAAAAAAATGAGTTCGCATGTCACCTCTGACACGCGTGTCGTAGGTTCGCCGTCACTGTCCTAAGCCTGAGGAGCACCCTAATGAAGTGAATGACGGTGTACCTACCTATAGAGTTTAAGTTTAAAAAATGTGGCTCTCAAAAGAAATTTCAATCGTTGTACTGTTGACATTTGGCTCTGTGGACTGATGAGTTTGCAGACCACTGGCCCAGACTCATGCCTTAAGAGACTTTTCCCTCCATTTCCAAGCTCGGCAGATTTTGGAGGGCCGATGCACTGAGCTGTCTCATTGATCACGGTGTGTTTTCAACAGAGGGTGAGGAACAAATCGCTGGAGGACGTGGTGATGTTAAACGTGGACACGAACACTTTGGAGTCCCCGTTCCACGACTTGGACAACCTCCCCAGTGATGTGGTGAGTCCGGGAGCGCCCATGGATCCGTACATCCATGGCTTCTCCTGCGCCCCGAGTTCCCGAGAGCGAGTCCCCCCACTTTCATAAACTCGGAGATCAAGGGGCCGCGCGTGTGCGGGGCATCCGTGCGGGGCTGCGTGTCCTATGTTTCCCTCCTTGGCAGCTGGGGAGACGCAGGACCATAATTAAAAAGCCGGGCGCCTTCATTAGGCAGCGTTTCTTGAAACGGGCGCCTCTCCCTCTCATCTTCATCATTATCTTACAAAGTAGGCATTTCTGTCTGCCTGGTGGCATGTCTTGCCAAAGAACGAGAGAGGGAGAGTTTTTGAAGGAAAGAGAAGGGAGCCAATTACCGGCGGCGCGTCCCCGCCACCTGCCAGCTCCGCTCCTTTTAATTAATGATCCGATGGCCCCGGTCAATCTCATCAGAAATGCGGGGACCGGCGGGGTCAGCAAATGCTGCCTTTGATCCCCCTCGACGTTCCTGAAACATTTATTTGTTTTCCCTAAATTATTTCGGTTGGCGTGTTTCATCTTCCCGGGCCTGCTGGGGGCGGCGGGGAGGGAAACCCACGCCGTGCGGCCCGGGCCCGGAGACTCGCCGGCTTGGGATTCTGTTTTGTAAATTAAACTGCAGGCCCGGCTTGTCATAAAAGACATCTGAGCCTTTTGAAATGACGCAAACTGTCTCTGGTCGGGGAAGGCTGATGAATTAAGTGCCGGCTCTCTCCTGGTCTTTGATCTCGCAAAGGGTGTGTGTGTGTGTGTGTGTGTGTGTGTATGTGTGTGTGTACGGCACGTGTGTGTCTACAGCTTATAACAGGGTAGATTCTGTATTCCATGTTAAATAGCCTCCAAAAGTACATTTTATGGCCTTGGTATTTCTGATGACAGGGCCAAAAAAAAAATGCAGGCTGGGATTGTTTCTGAATAGTGGTTGAAAAATATCTTTATAATACAGTCGTAGGTTAAAAAAAATACTGCTCCCCCCATCTTTTTTTAAAAAAATTCATTCTTTTCAGAGGTATTAAAATTGGAGAATAAACAAAACCTCCAGAATATATTTTTTTCCCCTGTAATATGGCAAGTATTTTGAAATCAGGATTAGGGAGTTTGAAAAATGGAATTTAAAAAATGTCGTACTCAAAAGAATACAGTGAAACTAAACCTGATTGTGTTTATGGCTAGTGATAGGAAAATAGGATATTTTTAAGTCCACATCAGGTTATTTATGGGTATAAATAAATAACCTCGAATGCTTGCTGACCTTGAAGCAAATGAAATCGAACCTCTTTATCTTGCCATTAAGGCTACGTACGAACAAATCCGCACCCCGCTCAGTGCAGAATTTTATTATGTTTTGAGCTCATTATAACTAGATTGCCTCATTATAAAAATTTTGCAGAAGCTGCTAGAAATGATTAGAGTTATTCATTTGGAAATCCATCAAAGTATCCTTCCCTGGATAGAGAAATAATTACGAAAACAAAGCCCCAACTTTTAAGAATGTCTTCCTTATGTGCATGTATTCCCTGCTCTTAATACTCTAAGGAGAAAGGATTGTTTATTTTTTTTAAAAAAAGGAGGAAGAAGAGGAAGAAAAATGAGAAAGAAATCAATGTGTTTTTTGTGTGTGTGTGTCATAATAAAATTTTTAGTCACTTTAACGATGCCTCATTCTTTCTTAGAGAAAAAGAATCTTTAACGGTAATTGTTTTGATGGGTGATTCTTTTTTAAGTAAAGAAGTAGTACTTCCCTAGGAGAATTAGCTTGATATGAAAACATCGAGTTAAATACGAGGAGTTAACCAATATTCACACAATGTACAAGGACACGAGGGACCATCTTATAGCCACAGTTAACTAGGCATAAGTGAAACAGTGAAAAATATTGCTAAGAAGGCCATTGCGAGGTGGTGTAGACAGAAATAGGTGTGTGTGTGTGTGTGTGTATGAAGCTAAGGGCCAGGGACTTACAAATATGAAGAAAGAAGAAATTGAAATAGCTCCCAGGTAGCGCTAGGGCTGTGACCGCGAGCCTGCGATGTTTGAAGTCCTACTCATTGTCTTAAAAACATTTCAGACGACTGCTTAACCATCTCTCGCCCATTTAGCTGCATCCTCCGCTTTGAGGATGACAGGATCAAGTCTCAAACCCTATGTCCTGTCACTGTCCGTGTTTTCAGTGATGTCAAAAATCATCCTGACTTCTGTATGTGACGGGAGCTCGTAAACCAGACCCGAAGCCCGCAACATAGGACTCCTGGCCTTGTTTGGTTGTTTAATAAATTAACTGATAGTTCAACGGGGGCCTTTTAAAACCGTGCAGCGGGCCCTTAAATTGCGCTCCGGGTCCGGAAGGCCCCGGGCCCATGTGCTCCCGATTAGGTGCCCGCCTGCCCAGTGGCCGCGCTGGCCCCGGGTCAGTGGTCACAGTTGTCCTGAATTACCCGTCTTTTTTCCCGGGGACCCTCTGCTGCGTCGCACGCTGTAATCTTCTTAATGGCTTCATTCCAATATTCACACATAATATTGGAGATTTATGGACTGTGAGAAATACGACCCTGCCAGTAGCAGTTCCGTTACTCAAGGAATTCAAAATTGGAGAAATAAATCAGGGCCAGGCGTCCGGCGACCCTTTGTGTCCCTTAAGGGGGTCGGGGGGAGGGGGGGGGGGAACTCCCGTTCTGTCTTCTGACACGAACACTTGTTTTTCGATTTCATCATTTCACTACAGATTTGGGGCGCTCAAAGCAAGCGGAGCGCAGGTTGGATGGGGAGTGATTTTAACGATATTGATTATTACGCGGGGTCGCTTTTAAAAGCTGGGGGTCCATTCGGAGAGGCCGTCGCCGTGTTGGCCTGTGAGGACATTGTGATGTTTTTAGTTTTAGTTTTTTTTTAATTTTTGTGTGTGATTTTATTTTTTTATTGGCTGTGCCAAATATGGAGACTTTCAAACAGATGTAGTTTGAGTGTTTGGAAATTGAAAAAAAGGCCATGTTAGGGCTAGAAACAATATCAATTGAAGTTCGTGTTACTCTGTTATGTTCTGAAGCGAGGGGTAGGAGAAGAACCAGTCTGATTAAACAGAACATTTGAAATCTCAAATGAGGTCACTTCAGTTTAAGAAAATGCACTATGGAGACACCCCCCCTGCCTGCTCCCCCCCCCCAATTCCAAATATCAACACACATTTCGTGTCAATTACACACTCACTTAAAATACTGTATGTCTAAGCTATTACCGCGCGTTTTAATTTTTATCGTCATTGACACTTTGACAAGTACCTTGCACCGTGGTTATTATTTCAGAAATAAATAGGGCGACCCACCTGCTGGGAAATGAAGCGAATGAGAATCATGACGAGATGCAGGAAATCCGTCTCCAGGGGACTGTTAAGATAAAACCACGGTCAGCTCGCTCTTGTACCTGAAAGCAGGTTAGAGTGGGCATCTGACAGTTACGTGCGTCGGAATGTCCATTACTAGGCAGGTGGATTTGGACCTATATTGCTTCCCTGTCTTTCATTTTAACCCAGTAAATCGTAAATAATAATAATAATAATAATATACTCTGAGACAGGTGACCTGTCTCAGGTCTCCTATTTTGAAGATGAAGGCACAAAGACGGTGCCGTTCATGGTGTTTTTAGAGGTTTAGGTGATGTGGGTTTTGACCCTCGGATTCATGCCCCACACCCCAGACCGCGGTCCCTCTCCCGTAACCATGACTCCCGGGGCCATGAGCTAACTCTTCTAAGATTCCATATCCAAGCTTCTCTCCTTTCCAATCCTGTTACGGACACGTCACGATGGCCTATTGGAGGTAAATTCGGATTTTCTGCACTGTCTGAACCACTCATTCTCATCTGGCCTGTAACCCTATTGGAAAATGATTTCCTGTGTCATATAAGGAGGGTGTGTAGGAAATAGGTATGTGTAAGAGTCCTCGTGAGGTTCGCTGGGAGCCACGGTGCGTTCAGTACAGGACGGTACGTGTGTGTGAAGTGCCTGTCGTTACGGAAACACTGAAGAGGCCTTGACATGAAATGAGTCCTTTAAAATCCCGGGCATCTCCCCTCAAGGCTCTCGGCTGCCCCTGAAGGAACAGGTTGATGTTTTTATTGTGATACAAAGAAAACGCACCCTAGCCGGTGTGGCTCAGTGCATTGACCTCTGAACCGGTTCGATTCCCGGTCGAGGGCACATGTCCAGGTTTCGAGCCTGGTCCCCAGTAGGGGGCGTGCAGGAGGCAGCCGGTCCATGACTCTCTCTCATCAGGGATGTTTCTATCTCTCTCTCCCTCTTCCTTCCTCTCTGAAATCAATTAAAAAAAATATTTAAAAAAAGAAAGGCATGAATTGTTCTCAGTCACCAAAAACCATGAAAAGCCTAAAGAGCTAGAAACAACAACAACGCCGACTTTAAATAAATTGTTTAGATAGTTGCATTCGAGCGAGTTAATTAATCTGGGAATAAGTTTGGGAAAGAATGGGCTTTTTCAAAGTGTTTTAAATGAGCTTTTTTTTTAAAAAAAAACAATAAGTAGATAAACAAACGGCACTCTCACAGCTAAAGATAGTCAACAGACTTGGTGAAGTCTTTGGCTCTTTCCTCTAATCCAACATGAAGGTTTAATAGGTTACGTTGTCATCAAGAAAAAAAAAAGGGCCCCAGAGAATATTCCATTCGTTCCAGGTTTGCCACAGTTCAGTTCTGCTAAAATCCTCGTTGTGTCTAACAGTACATGGAGGCCCCTGAAATTTCTAGGTGAAGCCCAGACTAAATCAGCACAAATTAAGCAGTGATGCCCGGCTGGCGTAGCTCAGTGGTTGAGCATCGATCTATGAACCTGGAGGTCAGGGTTCGATTCCCTGTCAGGGCACATGCCCGGGTTGGGGGCTGGATCCCCAGTGTGGGGCGTGCAGGAGGCAGCCGATCCATGATTCTCTCTCATCATGGATGTTTCTCTCTCCCTCTCCCTCTTCCTTCCTCTCCGAAATCAATACAAATATATTTTAAACAAGTAAAATAAAATGTTAATCACGTCCCATCCCCACTCTGTTCAAATTCACACGTGAAATAAAAGGCAGATTCCTTAAAAAAAATAAACTTCCATCTGCATCTAGGGGGCTTGGGCAGAAATGGGAAAGATTAGCTATTGGGAGGCAACCCACACGACACAGGCCTTGCCGCCTAAATGATGAATATCTCGACTCAATCATTTTCTCCGAACTGTGGGTATAATTGGACCCAGTGGGGGTCTTTCCCTTTGATCAGATCAGAGTCACCGTGACTTTTCCCTGGAAAATGTCACTCCTGTGAAGGTTTGTCACCTGTAGAGCTGGTCTCTCCTCGGATGCTGTGTTCCTCTCTCATTAGCATTATTCAAAGTTGAGTTGTTAATTAGGTTGACCCTTCCATGACAACCGTCATGGACAAGAGGAGTCAGGACCGCTTGCGTCAGGAAATAAAAATATTCCTTCTTGCCCGGCCGGTGTGGCTCAGTGGTTGAGCATCGACCGAGGAACCAGGAGGTCACAGTTCGATTCCAGGTCAGGGCACATGCCCGGGTTGCCGCCGGCTCGATCCCCAGTGTGGGGTGTGTGCAGGAGGCAGCCGATCCATGATGCTCTCTCATCGTCGATGTTTCTCTCTCTCTCTCTCCCTCTCCCTTCCTCTCTGACATCAATAAAAACATATTTAAACGAGACCGGGTATACCATTTGCACAACACAGTTCTCTACTCACCGTAGGTTCTCAATAACTTTACCTTCATTCCCCTTTCTTATGTCATAACTAGAGGCCCGATGCACGAAATTCTGCCGCGGCCCTCGCCCCACTGCGGCTTTGTCCGGAAGGAAGGACACCCGGAAGGACGTCTGGTCTAATTAGCATATGGCGCTTTGATTATTATAGATGCTCAGAACTATTCAGCAAGGGATCGGAAAATCCCATATGCAGGCGAGGCTTCCAAAAATAAGATTCAATGGGAAGGGACCCGGAGGACCTGGAACCAGGAGCCTTTTAGGGCAGAAATGGAGGGTAGACACCTCTCCAGACGGGTAGACACCCGTTGTAATGGCTAAAAAAAATGGGCACAGAAGCGGCTTCCGGGCAGTTTCCTGTAAAACAATTAAAGCTCGTTGATGTCAAGAGGCCTCGGGAGACAGGAGAAGGGAGCGCACGGAGCCATTTGCATCAGCACGTGACTCTGGGTCCCAGCTTTCCCTCAATTAACGGGCCAGCAGGCGCTCCCGCCGTTCTGGGGAGAAGCTGCGGGGAGGAGGCCGAGCTGGCGGGTGGGTCCGGGGGAACCCGCAGGCGCCGGGGTCGGCCTGCCTGCTGATGGGACCCGTGCCTCCCAGGACCAGTTCCCGAGGTGTTCATGTAATGCAGTGGTTCTCAACCTGTGGGTCGAGACCCCTTTGGCGGTCGAACGACCCTTTCACAGGGGTCGCCTAAGACCATCCTGCGTATCAGATATTTCCATGACGATTCATCACAGTAGCAACATGACAGTGATGAAGTAGCCACGAAAATAATTGTATGGCTGGGTCACAACACGAGGAACTGTATTGAAAGGGCCAGGAGGTTGAGAACCGCTGATGTAACGGCTCCTCTCTGTCCCGCAGGTCTCGGCCCTGAAAGCGAAGCTGAAGAAGCAGTCCACGGCCACGGGGGACGGGGTGGCCCGGGCCTTCCTCAGGGCGCAGGCCGCTCTGTTCGGATGCTACCGAGACGCGCTGAGATACAAACCCGTGAGCCTGCCTTGCGTCGCGATTTCAATTTGCATTTGCTTTTCTTTTAAAAACAAACAAACATTTTTTAAATTGATTTCAGAGAGGAAGGGAGAGGGAGCGAGAGATAGAAACATCCACGATGAGAGAGAAGCATGGATCGGCTGCCTCCCGCATGCCCCACACTGGGGATCGAGCCTGCAACCTGGGCCTGTGCCCTGATGGGGACTCGATCCCTGACCTCCACAGCAGCAGGTCATCCACAAAACTCCTCTGCAGCCCCCCATAGCCAGCTGCTTCTGTAGGGTAGGAGGACAAAGATGACACAGGGAAGCAGGGATCACAGGCGTGGGGAACGGCCATGCGGGCTGGGGTGG